GGAATCGACGACTGTCTCGATGGGGGGGATTGGCGACGGCTGTCTCGGAGATGGAGGGGTTGGCGGCGGCTGTCTCAGAGATGGAAGTGGAGGAACGCTGTCTCTTGCGGGAATGGGTGGGGGAATGCAGGCTCTTATGGGAGGTGGAGGTGAAACACTGTCTCGTCGAGGAGGGGGTGGCAGAACGCTGTCTCGTTGAGTTGACGGCTGGTTCGAACTGAGGAGGAGGCTGTCCCAGATGGGGGTGCGACAGATTGCCAACTCCTGTCGAATAATAGTCGGCAGCTCCCGTAGAATGATTGCCGACACCTCAAAGGATATTTTGGCAATAACATTAGCCATTTCAGCCCATACGCACGCGCGAATATCCTCAATAAAGGCAGACTCATCTATTGGCCTCGCCTCCTCCCGGTGCACAGTGTCGGCCACAATTTGAGATTGTAGAGCCAGCATGGACGGCAGTGCCGAGTCTTGCATACGGCGACTGGCTGGGTTAACCCGTCGCAAAAATCGAGGCCCCTGAACATTCAAAATTCGAGAGGTCCAACACGCCAATCTCATCCTCATTCAACGGCAGTGTCTCAATCACCTCCAACTAAATTTAAAAAAATAGAACATAAATATAAAGAAATCATCAGAAATCGTTAAGACATAAAAAGAATTTCGGATATCACTTGCTAGCCATTCCAATAATAATAAAAAAAAATGATTAAGATCAAATAATACATGTTGGTCAAAAAATGTATTTGGAAGTGTGACCTTCAGTTCCCAGTGAACCAGCCGTGGTGGATGTCTCACCGAGGTACATTCTCCACATGCACGACCTAATGTAGGGATTGCCTCGTACCACCATACTAGAAACGCCTAGTGAAATCCGTAGATATGATATTTCATATTATTGTACTGGGCCGTCTTCAAGTAGTCGAGCAGGTACTGAAACGAGTAACTCCCCCATGGTAATTTCTCCCACATCTGGTCGTCCTCGAGCAAAGCGCACCAGCAGGTATCAATATACCGATGCTTCTTGTCGTCATGAGGAACTATGAAGTACATGAGCATTAGCATCTTCGCCACTCTCACTATCACATCCCGAGAGTGACAGAAATGTCCTGCCTTGAAGTCATCACGCAACTGCTGCATAGTGACCCGCTTGGCTTTATATGTCTCATAGAAAATAGACGATGGAGGAGGAGGCGCTGAGTTCGGGTCAAACGCAGATGGTCCAAAAGCAAGCCCGGTCAACATAGCATACCCATGGGCGGAGAATCGGGTAAGATGGTTACCAATACGGAACCACATCTCGTTCGGGTTCTGACCGCCACGAGTCACCTCGCGTGAAAGAACACCATGCATTGCCTTTGCAGAGACATTAGCATGATCATCAAACTGGAGGAACGGACCAAAGACCGAGCCCTGGAAAGCTGTCAAGGCCCCTTCAACGAGGCACAACTCATTCTTGATATCAGAACATATATACAGCCGGCTGTAAACGTTGATTTTCAGCCCTTCATAATTACCGATCAGTTTCGGTCTCTTGTACGACCACAAATCCTAAACAAATCGCATTGTTGTTGTTGTTAATTATTCAAATCAAATTACTTATACATTATCAAATAAAAACAACTATTTCTTAACTATTAAAGCAGATGAAATTAAATAACTTAAATTAAATAACTGCAACAAATGGAAGTTACCTCTCCAGAAGAGATGGCCTTCGGACCCGTGCCTTCAGTCGCTAAGTCGCCGCCCGCCATACCCGTTACGGCAGCCGTTGAGTCGCCGACCGCAATAGCCGTTAGGGCACACGCCGCGTGAAAAGCTAGATTCGTGAAATCTTCATTATTTCCAAAGAAGGCCATGGCGTCCTTCACGTTCATCATTTTTTGTTCTTTTTTTTTGTTTAAATTTATAACAGTAACTATGCGAATTAATGTCGCAAGATAAAATCCCAAATGTTTCACCCCTCTTTCTTTTTTATTTTCTTCCCTAGAGAGGTGCAACTGTTAAAATAGCGTATATGAGACGTTTCGCTTTCTTATTTTTTGTTTCAAATAATAAACTATACGACAAAATAAGCGAAAAAAACAGCAGTCGAGTAATATTCGCGTAACAAGCGCCATCCTTTCGCAATTCTGATGCATTTTTAATAAAAAAAATAAATATAATGGTTTAGTCCGCATCTCTTTCGCAGTTTAATACCCTGCGGTAGACCTGCGAATAAACGCATATCCGTCGTGAGACGGTCGCATAAAGAATCACACTTATCAGAACATTTCTATCACAAAATATTTTAATAATTGTTTAATAATTGTTTATACTCTTATACAAAAAGGGGTCTTCGAATATCCTGCGGTTGACCTGCGAATAAACTATGCAACGTTTCTTTGTCGCAATTATGTGTGTCGCAGAATAGAAAATTTACAAAAAACAATTGTTGTTTAAAAAAATTCTTCGATTATACTACGAATGTTTTGCGGTTTGTAT